TTCAGGCTTTTATGCACAGGTATATTTTTTTACGCCAACCCAAGTAAAAGAAAGATACCAGTTAAAAAAAAGAATCCCGATAAAAAGGATTGAAAACACGCCAAAAATAAGCCAAAACCCAAACCTCTGCTTGGAGAGTAAAAGGCAAATTATAAGGTTGAGGGTCGGTGTTCACAGATTGTAATGATGGCAAGCGGAACTCCCTCCAGGGTTTCCGGTCTGACTGCGGGTGTCCTTCCCTCCTACTCCTAACAGGGAACGCTCCCTGGGGACACCACGGTGGGCGGGAAATGTGCAAAATAGGGGACAAAATATGGGGATATTTTATCTGAGGAATTGGTAGGCCACTGGGCAGTATACCGCACGGCAAACTGTACTCTCTAGCGGACAAACTCCCCTGGCATGTTATCTCTCTATTTCTACTCTTTCTAGCCGCCTCCAGAAGCCTGGTAGAGGCTAGTTCCGTACTGGCGTTTTTTAAAGGGGGAAGAAAGAGTCAGAACCCAGCAAGTATAGCCTATAACGAAGGAGCTTAGATAGAAGCTCCTTGCTCTAACCAAGAAAAACCTCCTTGCTCTAACCAAGAAAAACCTCCTTGCTCTAACCAAGAAAAACCTCCTTGCTCTAACCTATTTTGTATAATCCTACAGGTACATGTATTGCGACATTTTTATTCCCTACCATCGGGTAGGATTGGTTTACACCCCCGCCAAATACAATGGTCTGGCCCTGAAGTAAGGTAGCGACGGACGGAGGCGTTACCGTGGTAACGGTTGCTAAGCGACGACCCGGCCCTCTCATCTGAACGTGGTAGGCGAAAACGCGAAGAAATGAATTCGGCATTTTCAAAGTACTGAATTCGGGATCATACAGGTAAAAAAATCAGTATTGTATAATGTTGGGGTTTGGTGGTCTTCGGCTGTTTTCTGATTAGCCCAGTTCTGAAAAAACGGGGGTAATTCAACCAGGCCGGCTATGTTGTCTATATGCAATCAGAAAATAGCACATAAAAGCTCCCAAAGACCCTGAAGACCCCCAAAACCACCAGTTTTTGGCATGCTGTGGAGGCTAGTATGATGCATGATATGCGTTAGTCGCGATCGTTGTATCAACTGAAAATGTTAGCCTCTACCAGGCTTCGGGAGGCGACTGGAAAGATTTTGGATGCGGCAAAATTTACTCTCTAGCTGAACAACTCTCCTGGCATGTTATCTCTCTATTTGGCCAATGTCTACTCTTTTCCAGCCGCCTCCCGAAGCCTAGTAGCTACCGAAATGTAGCAGAAGCGAAATGAAAGAATTGATTTTTTAAGGGGAACATATCCTGATTCAGAGACGCTCCCTCCGGTGCCATCCCACTTGAGTTGCAGATTGAATTTTAACGAAGTCGTCTTGAGTGTCGGGCGGTCTGTCGTCATGTCATTTCCCGTCAAAATGACCCCCCATATCAAATCTGTAACATCACGGCCCGCCCTGATGTGGCAGTCCGGCCGCTACATCACATGTAGCGGAATAACACGTATTGATCCGCTACAGTGTGACAACAGGGATTTGTGCCGCCGCCACTGATGTATCAATTTCCCGCCACTTTCCGAGCCCTGCTGAATAAATGATACCCCGGCCAGTCGCTACATTGTTGTTACATTGTTGTTACATCGCCGCTACACCTGTCCACCTGTCACACACAGAATGGACACATCAATTATGCAACAACTTCGCTACTCTGATGTAGCCATGCGGGCGGTAACACAGAGAATACGGGGTTTAGAAAATGCCAACTCACAGCAATTGGCCTTTGCAAGCAAATTGATGGACCGGGTTTCTATTGTCTGTTGGGGCAATTTCTAGGATTGATTATATTCCGGTTCGGTGGTGGGCTACAGGCGGGTAGCCTCCATAGCATGCCAAAAACTGGGGGTTTTGGGGGGTCTTTGGGAGCTTTTATGTGCTATTTTCTGATTGCATATAGACAACATAGCCGGCCTGGTTGAATTACCCCTGTTTTTTTTAGAACTGGGCTAA